GGTATAAAGAGCATAAACAAAATGAAGAAAAATGTTTTATGAATATATTTGTTAATGATGTCTCTTTGTGTTTATTTGCCTATTAATTTGCTCATGCCTTTGTGCTATGACAAAAAAAGGGAGAAATATCATATGGACAAATTTGCTTGTGCTTGATATGCATATGTTTGATTGCACTTATGTGATATATTTGACTAACATATGTTTGTTGAGATGTGTTGGATTAGCATGCATAAATTAAGGGGGAGTTTATGAGATGTGTAGGATTAGGATGCATAAATGAAGGGGGAGTTATTCAAAATGTCTTTCAAAATCTTAAATGTTTAAAAGAAAGTTTTTCATTAAGCAAATTTATCTTTAAGTTTTGTCATATCAAAAAAAAGAAGATTGTTAACCTTAAATTGATCTTTATTTTGAAATGACAAAACATTAAGCTAAGCTTGATCAAGATTTTGAAAAATATTTATTTAGTACATGTTTGTAAGTTTTATATTTTGGTACTAAATAAATAATATGATTTTCAAAGTTTAAATAAACCTTTCTTGGTTTTATATTTTTGAAACCAAATCTATCTTTAAAGATTATGTATTTGAGCTTAAATAAAGTCCAATTGTTGTTTTTTAAAGTATTTTGGACTTAATACAATTTTGATAATATTGGTTTTGAGAAATAGATTAACTTAAGAAAGTTGTTTTACAAGAATAAAATTTTCCAACATTGAACTTCTTTCATATTTTTGTATTAATTCACAAAGTTTTAATATTTGAATTTTATATGGTTGGAAAGCTCTTTGAGTCTACTTTCTAATGGATCAAACAAAATCAAAATCAAAATCCAAATTTTCTAAGAAAAGATTTTGAATTTTTACTAAACACTCTGTAGTTATCAAAAAAAACTGCACAATGGGTAACTTTGAAAATTCACTATAATTCGTACACAGTGAATTAGGTGATGAACTTGGATAGAATTTGGATTTATATAACTCAAGTTATGATCAAATTAGTAAGTAGAGTGTAAAACGGGAAACTACCATCTAGTATAGACAGGATCGATCCCCTCTAGAAGGGATCGATTGGTTTCAAACAGAATGCTCCCATGACTGAATTTCTAGAAAAGGGATCGATCACCCAGGCAAGGGATCGATCCCCTCAAGAAAGGGATCGATCAGTTCTAGGCGGAATCACACTAATAGCTATTTGTTTTCATGCATTCAATGGCTACTTTCACTTTCTAAGCTTCCACAATGGCTATTTCTTCAATTTCTTTATAAATTAGGCATTCTAACAAACCAAAAAGATTGATGAATGAAGAGAGCAAGAGCCAATAAGTCATATTTTTATTCTCTCAAAGAATCAAGAGTTTTTAGAACTTCAAAGTCCATATCTTTGTATTTATTGTATTTAAATTATATTTGTTATTCATTCATCATTTTCTTGTACTTAAACTTAGCAAACACTTAGCCTTAGAGAGGTTGTTCAATTATTTGCAAAATTACCTTTGATATACAAGAGTGGAAGAGAACAAGAGATAAGGTATCCTCTTGATATTGTAAGGGTAGAGGTTGCTATCTAATCCTTGAGAAAAAGATAGAGATTTAGTAGAAAATAGGCTTGTATCTTATAAGAATTTTTCTTCAATTAGTGGATTGAAGCCTTGGTGTGGACAACCAAGAGAGATGACATAGGTTCCTTGTAGAGAAGGACCGAACCTCTATAAATTATTGTGTTTGATTTCTCTATTCTTATCTCCTTACAATTTATTGTTGTTTATATTTCATTTTAGGTTTATTAATTATTATTGTTAGCATTATATTTTCATCAAAAGTGCTTATTGTTTTTAATTTCCATTCAATTATATTGAAATCATTTGTTTGGAAAGAATTTGGAGAAATCCAATTCACCCCCTTCTTGGATTACCATCTCACCTATAAAGCTAACAGAATTTTAGCTTGTTTTAAGTCAAATTTTTTGTTAGATTCCTAACTCAAATTTTTAATTTTGAAAAAAAAAATGAACTTCAAATTCCATCCACACAAGTACCAAAAATTCACTAAAATCAGGCCTAAATTCAGTTAATAGATTAGTTCTTTGCATGAGTGACAGCATAGCAAAGATCTACTCTCGTTTTTGGCATTTGGTTTGCTTCTTTTTTACTTCACACTCTTAGATTCACATGTTTACTTATTAGTTTTCAATTGATTGCATTTGTTTTCATGAATTTACTTGCTATTTGGATGATTTCTTTGAACATGATTTGGTTTTTCCAATTTTATGTACTATTTAAGTTGTTAGTTCAATGAGCTGGATTTTTCTTATTTGATGCAATTTCTTTTTTGAATTTTATGATAAACTTATTGATAAATCTTACCTTAGCTCAATTGTAGTTCATTCTCCTTAGAAGTTTCTAGATTTGGCTTTTTCTCTCCTTGAATTAGTAAAATTCTAATGCAACTTAGTTTTTGTTTTGATTTGTTTTAGTACTTTCTTGCTATTTCTCTTTAGTTCCTAACTTTCAAATTAGTTTTTATTGTAGTTCTTTACATGTTTTTTTAATTTCTAGCTCATGCTCCATTTATTTTGCATTATTTAGACCTAGATCAGTAACTTTAAATTCAATTTCCAGATTTTCTTTTCACTTTCAGTTTCAACTTGCACTTTGAGTTTTTAGATTTTTTGCTTCACATTTGAAATTCAAACTTGTTCTTACTTTAGTTTTTCACTTGTCTTTGCATTTTTAAGTTTGATTTCATGTACTTTTTGCCATTTAGATTTAGTTCTAATACATAAAGTCATGATTTGTCTATAGTAGCTTTGTATTTTAGGTTTTGCAAGTTTAGTTGCATTTTGCATTTAGTAAGTATTTATATTTTTTTAATATAAAAAATAATTTATTATTAAATGTAAAAACTTATTTTACTTTACTCAACAAGCTCTTGAGCACACTAGTGATCGTGGTTGAAAAAATTCGATAGTGCTCCAAGTTTAAGCAGTTATCAATTTTTTATATTTTAAAATTTTGATTAATGTACTGAAATAATTTGAATGTTATTGTATTAAACTTTGTGTTATATGCATGCTGTAACAAATTATGTATTTAGATATTTAAATATTTATAATATTTAGTTTATGAATTTAAATTCGTTTTTATGAATTTAAAAATATTTATCTATTTTTTAATTTAATTATAATAGTGAATATTGAAAGAAAGAAAAAAAAGTAAAATTTCTAATTTAACAGTATTTGTAGTGAAAAACATCGTTAAATTTAGCGATATTTGTGTCAAAAAATGTTGCTAAATTTTCTCATTTCATAACGTATGTGTAGAAAAACACCATTAAATTTAGTGGTGTTTTGTGACGTAAATGCTTCTAAATTTTCTTATTTAGCGGCATTTATAATCACAAACGCTATTAAATTTAGTAGTATTTACATTTGAAAATGCCTCTCCTTGTCGCAGATATACCCAACACTCTTAATGACGTTTTTAACAAACGTCGCTAAACATAAAAAAAAAAAAAAAAAAACCCTCTAAAACCCTATTCTCTTGCGGTGAGATCTATCTTTTTTTTTATGACTTTCCCCTCTTAGCCTAGTGATTAAAAGGCCAGTTGAAAGCATGTAAGACGTGAGTTCTACCCCACCATCCCCCCTTCCCCCTTGTAAGGGCACTATCCCTCCTTTAAAACCAAAAAAAAAAAAAAAAGGATCTATCTTTTTTGGTTTTTGGCTTCTCCTCTTTCCAAGCAAGTATGGGCTAAGAATCTTTCTTTTTGTTCAATTTGAAGAGTTTGTAATTGACTGCACAAGTTACTTAATTTTACATTTGTATTAGTAAATATATAATTTTGTTCAATATTTTATTGGTAACAAGATATTTCTATAAAACACATCGTCTATAAAAAAATGTATTTTATTTTATTTTATTTTTATAAATTTAGTTTAAGCACATGAGGTACTATTATCAACAATTAAGCGCATGAATTTAAGATTTGAAAAAAGTTTTTGGTTACATGCCAATGCTCTCGACGGGGTCAGTTTGGGTCGTCTTGCGGCTTTTTGTTGTTGTGCCGTTGAGATTACGGGCAAGCATTTTAAGGCGCCATTGTTTAATTGATTACAAACATTGACGTTAGCTATTTGTCTTATAGTGATAGTATATCCAATTATCAAGTTTTTTGTAATAAAATAAAATTAAAACCATATTCTAAATAAAAAAAATTTCATATTATATTCCATTCTTAGATTATAAGTTTGTGCAACATATATACAAGTTACAAAGGTTATTGAAAACTAGAAAACAAAGCTTACAATAAGTACCCATGTTTCATTTGTATCTCTCGATAATTTTAAGACAAAAAAAAAAAAAGATTTATTGAACTAAATATAAAATATAATAATAAAAAGTCAGGATTAAGAAGAAAACCTATAATAACTGAACCATAGCTCAGATGACATGTCATCAGTTCTATTTGGGAGGTTGTCAGGTTCGAGACATAATGCTCTCATCCTAGCTAAGTAAGATGAGCGTAGAAGGGTTAGGGGGTTTCAAAGTAGATTAAGAAATTCAAAAAATATATGGCTTTTGTTAGTGGGGGATTATAAAGTAGGGTAAGTAGTGCAGGAATACGTGGATGGCAGTGTCACCAAAGACCAAACCCTAATCCCATGGAATTGGAAGAAAGAGAGAGATCAGTAGGGATGATATCAATCTAACACCGCCCATTAAATAGAAAAGAATCCTGGAGGAGCTGGGAGGGTACGTTAGTTAGTTCAGGGGCTTTAAATAACGATTAGGAAATGGAAACGTTATTGCCAAAAATGGTGCGAATTTGCAACTGTAAAGCTCTTTCATTTAGCTAAAACTACAACGTCCTTTCTGCATTTTCGGCAAATTACAATTCCAATGTCTTTTTCCAAGTCAGAGACTGAGACTCCCCCATCTCTCTCCCTTTTATATTAGCCTCTTTAGATTAATTGACAAAGAAAGCAAAGGGCTATCAGCCGATCGACACACACAAAAAAAAAAAAAAAAGTCCAAACACTTTGGCCTCTTTGAGCGTCGTAATTTTCCGAAAGCTGAAGTGGCCGGAACTGTGGCCAAAGCACAGGTCTGTGGGCTATTTTCATCTTCTTTTAAAGAAGAAAAAAATATATAAACTATTGGTCTCGGTTAGATCTCGTTAAATATGTATATGCTTACTTTTTATGACAATATCTATTTACCAAAATGCATAGTTTTTTTCTCAAGAGGTTTATATCTTCTTAGATCTGTTGTCAGACACTGAGAACAAGGGAATCTTCTACTTCCTTGAAGAAGATCTCTTTTCCATTCCTTTCTCTTCTTTGTTCAGCATAATCACGCGAAAACTCTTGCCTTCCAACAAAACATATGATGGGTTTTCTTCATTTTTCATCCTTATACTTCTTCAGATTATGCTTTTTCTTCTATTCCCTGATAGTTAGTACTTTTACACTGTTGCCATAACCATAACTGGTTTTCGATATATTTTATGCTTTGAATTTTGGAAATATGTACAGATCTTTTCAAATGATCTCTTCAACTTCAGTTTCTTTAGAGTTGATATCCTTTTCTTTTTATGTCTTTTTTTAGCCAAAAATAATACGTTTTCTTTGATGATCTAGCAACCAAACAAATATTACATCTGCGAGGGCACAAACCAGGGCATACGCTGGACTAGTGCGATCGTATGCAATCGTATACGCAGGCACATTCACACTGGAGAGAGAGTAAGAGAGAATGGGTTTATGCACCCATAAAGTGAAGTACTATATCTATGAAATAAAACCCCACAAATTTTTATTATTTTACTAGGTAATAGCTATAGATATTCTTTACTTTGAAAGTTTCATAGAAGATGGGATATGGGTATGACTCAACTTTTTTTTCCATGCACTTCTTCCTATTAATTGATGTTTTCTCAGTGGTGTTGCAGCCTTAGTTACTTATACGCACTTCAGAAACGATTCACTGTCCTGAATCTGCTTCTGCTCTCAATTTTCTTCTTCTAAAGATCATTTTCTTCTTAGCTTTTTCATTACTTTCATTATGGAATTCGTACTTCTCATCTTCCCAAACACCAAATAAAAAAAGAAAAGAAAAGAAAAAAAAAAAGCCTTACGAGACAAATTCTGGGATATTATTGTTGCAGGTTGTGTAGGAAGGAATCTGTGAAGTGAAAGAGCGGTTAATAGGTGAAGATGGGAAGAGGAAAGATCGAGATCAAGAGGATTGAGAACACCACCAATCGTCAGGTTACCTTTTGCAAGCGCAGGAATGGGCTGCTCAAGAAAGCTTACGAATTGTCAATCCTTTGTGATGCAGAAGTAGCCCTAATTGTCTTCTCCAGCCGTGGCCGCCTCTACGAGTACTCCAACAACAAGTAACTAACTTCTCTTTTTCTTTCTCAAATCTCAATCCCACCTCATGCTATTCTTTTATTCTATTTGTGACTGCTTTGCTTGGGATGAATTTCTGGCTTGTCATTTTCTTGGTTTGAACTTTTTCACTAAGAAGATGCTTTGAAAAAAATGAAAGAAGCAATTTATGTTATGTGTTTTTTTCTGAGCTGAATACAGAAAGTAAGCGACAATCGAAGTCAGCCGAATCTTAAGTTTAAGTGCCTCTGATTTTGGGGAGTGTCCGAGGCTATTTTCCTAATATGGCTAAGAGATTATAAGTAGTACTGCAGTATGAAGACCATTATTTATATTTCCATTCATTTGGACAAAGGTCAACATAATTTTCTACAAATCATTGTTTTTTCTTCTTTACTTTGTAATTTTCATACCTAAAATAAAATTTTATTCTCACTCCAATAATTATGTTCATCTTTTGGTTTTTAATAAACATTGTAAAAGTGACAATGAAGACCATTATTTATATTTCCATTCATTTGGATAAAGGTCAACATAATTTTCTGCAAATCATTGTTTTTTAATTTCTTCTCTACTTTTTAATTTTCAGACCTAAAATAAAATTTTATCCTCACTCCAATAATTATGTTCATCTTTTGGTTTTTAATAAAATTGTAAAAGTGATATTTTATTAATATATTAAAAAAATTTTCAATATTTTTTTTCTTTCAGGACTTTTCAATCTTTTATCTTGAAAAGTAATATATTAAAAAAATTAAATTAACATAAGAAATCTTGAATTGGTCAAAATTTCTTTCTTATATTAAATGTCAACGATTGAATCTGAAAGAAAATTAGAGTAGGATTTATTTAACGTCTTGGTACATTTGTAACATTTCTTCTTGTTACTTCACTGGGGGAACATTACATACTTTACACCAACTATAACCTAAAAGTAACACTAGCAGTAACGATATATACTAAAATTAATGGAGTAGTAATATAAAATAAACATAAGTCTTTTGCACACTTGAAATTTTGTTTCCACCAAAATTATGGAGTCTCTGTCATAAGCAGCAAATTCAGGAAATCAGAGATACAGTTTTTGCTTAAATTACATGAAAAAAGAAACTTTAAATATCAATAATAAATCTATTACAGAAACTTGAACCTAGCGACTAGCTAGGTGAACGGGTGAAAGGATGGATATTGGATGGCATATATTGGAGGGAAAGGCATTTCAAAATAAATCAGATTATGTTTGATAAACGTTTTTTACTTTTTTTTTAAAGAAATTATTAAATACACCATATAGCTTTTTAATTTTATAAGTGAAATTAAGATGATGATATATGTTCTTACATATTTAAAAAAATTAATTTAAAAAAGAAATGAAACATGTGTCATTATCTTAATTTCGTCTGTGGAATTAAAAAATTTCATTATTAGTGTATCAAATAAATTTTTTTATTAAAATTTTAAAATAAATATATATCAGAATATGTAATATGTGTTTTATTTTCTAAGTAAAACATATTCTATATATGTATTAACCAGTTGAAAACATGTGTTTTCGCTGGGTGGTTTAACCATTAACTAACAGATAAGATAGAGGTTGAAAGTTCAAAAGAAGCATAACTAATTAATAGGGTTGCACTCATGATTAATTTTTTATTAATTAAATGAATTTATATTTGATGTATTATTAGTGTACAAATTTTATATATTATCAATAAATCAGGTGAAATAATTAGTTTACAAACAATTAAAATCTAAAAATGTTTGTAAATTATTTCATTTTTTAAAATAAGTTTTTATATTTTTATTATAATCAAATAAACTTTTATCTTTTGATTTATATTTAAATAAATCTTTATTTCACACAAAAGATTAATTTATGTAAAGAATTTATTTAGATACAAATTAAAAATTATATTTTTGTTTAAATATAATAAAAATATATAATTTATTTAAATAAAATAATAAAATTTAAAATTTATGAAATGCGTCTCCACATAGAAACAGTAAAAATACCTTAGAAGCATCCGTCGTCCAAGGAATTAAAGAAACAGAATTGAAAATTTTGAACTCCACAAACACCATCAATACCTCCAAAATTACCAACAACTCAACTTGAATTGACTCCATAACACCAAAGGCTTTTGAAAATATACCCTTGGCCACACTTAATTCATCTTTTAAGACTCCTCTAATCTCTACCGGCTCAGGCTTGCCTCTTACACAACTATCATCATTATATTTCAAGCAATCCTCAAAAGTTACGTGATTTATTAATAAAATATTATATTCTTAATTTCAATAATCAAAGCCTAAATTACCTCAAATATTAAAAAAAAATTAATTCAAGAAATCAAATGGTGGAGGACACCAAGATATTACGTTGAACTTCGAATGCACACCAATGACAAATTACTTACAGGTATAAAGAAATATAAAGAACTGTTAACAATATTGTCTTCCTCATTTTGGTTTCTATTTTACTTTCACTTTTTTTTTTCCTAATGTCAAACATTTATGTCAATGTGCGGTAGAGTTCCAATACTTTCCTGTTTCATTATTTTTGAGATCTTAGTTTCTTCGGTTTGTCTGCTTCTATTTCTAGCTAACCATCAAGCTTTCCAATCTTTTGTTTGCTTCTCTTTCTCTTCACTGAAAAAAACCAACCACTTCTTTGTTAGCTTTTTCTTCATTGCTAAATTAAGGCATTTAATCTATGTGTCCTTTCTCTTCCTGCTTTCATGTCCACTGCTATATGAATGTAATCATGAAGAAAAAAGAAAGTGGAATTTTCTCCACTCTGCTGTTATATTGGCAGAGTCCATTCCAATTTGGATTATCAACTGACTTGAGTTCCACAAGCAAGCAAAGTAAAAACGCTTTTTAGTTCAATATCCTTCTTATTTTTCACGTCACATTATTACTCAGCAGTGAGCCCTCCCCTCCTCTCTCCTTTCATTATTTCTTTTCCTGTGTTTGTGGGCGGTGCTATATATCTTATATCCTCCATAACACTTGTACAATCACTTGTATAGACCTGTCCAGGGTAGAACTACTTGTTTGAGTCCAAAAATTCACCTAAATTTTGAAATAGTTTGGACGTGAATTATAAGTTCGTTAAATGAGTTTGGATTTGAATTTTAAGCTTGTTTAGAAAAGGTTCATCTTAGATAAGATATTTAAAGCACATACTCGATCTAGCCCAAATAAATTTTATATATTTTATATTTATAATTACATTACATAGAAAATAAATAAATGATTAAATAATTATGTGTATACACTAATATAATATTCCTTCAAGTATTAATTTTATGCATGGGCTCGAATAGGGTTGGCCCAACCCGTCTCCGATGGGTTTCAACCCGACCCGATCTCATAGGATTATTATTTTTTCATTTTGAAAATCGGGTTTCACTTCAGATCGAGTAATAATAAAAAAAAAAATTAAGGTCAGGTTTTAGGTAAACTCGACCCGATCCAATATATATAAATTTTTTTTAATTATTTATATATTTATTTAATTTTATATTTATATTAAAAAAATAATATTTTATATTTTATAAATAATATTTTATATTTAAAAAATAATATCTTATTAATTTCGGATCGATAAGATCAGGTACGATTTATACAACATTTGATTGGTTCCGGTTCGGGTTTTATGAATATAAAATCAAGTCGGATTCGGGGTTAACTAAAACCCACCCCGACCCGACTCGTTGCCATTTCTAGGCTTGAATTCGCTAGAGATCATGGGAAAAAAAGAAGCTTGTTTGGGCTAGTTCGAAGAAGGGAAGTAATAAATGAAGCCTAAGAACCCCTTGTCATTGAATAAAAAAATTAACAAAGTATTTTAGGCTTTATTTTATTGAATATTTATTTTGTTATAGTTAATTTTATTATATTTTTATTTTTATTTAAAAATTTGAAATTTGGATGACTTGGATGGGCTTGGGTAGCCTCTTCTAAATATGGATCAAGCCTAGATTGTAAAATGAGGACCATATTTCAACCTAAGCTAGACTTGGACAAGCTTGAAACTTATAAATATCCTATCTAGATTCGACCTAACCCAACTCATGGACATATCTACATATTGCTATCATTCAACTTATTTCTTTATTTCAAAATTTTTCATTTTTCTACTTAGAATATTTCTGCATTGGTTTAACAATTTGATTCCCTTCCCACAATATCTAATATTGTGGACAAACCTTTTATTAGCCAAACTTTTGATATTCATAATTTAATCATATATTTATTGTTGGATTTGATCAAAACCTCACTAAGTTACTAATATAATTTTAATCAAAACTAAAATTGACATAGATGGGAGAGAAAGCTCAATCCTGCTTAATCAAAATCTACGAAAATGTTGACACAATCACAAGATTTTTTTATGTTTGCTTCGAGAGTTCGAATGGAAACCTACACAGAAAGGAATGAGAGAGAGAACTACACTTTACCTGAAACTAAAGTTTTGAAACCTAATAAGCCGACCTCATACATATAAGATGAAAGTAATAACCTTCTTTAACACGTTAGTAAAAATTGACCCATCCCATTATGGGTCTAATTACTAAATTAATATTGAGATCATACTTAACTAAAAGCCTACTATATGATCAGATATGTCATAACATGGTACCACTATAATTATAAGTAAATTAACATTAATAAACCTAAGTCCAAATTAATTGACTATGTTAGTCTATAATAAGAGATAAATGTAACAAGCACCTATTTGGACAACACAATTCAATTCTGAATATTTTGATAATATAGTGTAATATACATATACTTATACGTTTAAAAATCAAATTCAGATTAACAGAATGGTCATAAAAATGTCAAATACGAGTATATACCTGAATCATCATACAATAGGATGAGCATTTATAAACCTTGAAATGCATTGTATTGACAAGGTATGAATGTGTGGACTTATATGCCCTCTATAACCAAACAACATTTATAAGCCTCAAAATATATTATATCGACAAGA